AACTGAGATCTTTGCCTCAGTCACTTATTTGGGGTTGTCAGAGCAAAGACAGGGAGCTGCAGGAGAGTGTGGGGCTGTAATAGAAATGGGGTTGGCTCTTTGACTGAAAATGGGGAAGACTAGAGTTGAAAGGTATTGACTGATACAAAATTAGAACCTAAGTCTGTCTGATGCCAAAGCAGAACAAGCTGAGTTGGCCCTCACAGCTGTATTTTCCCTTCATCAGTCACTAGCATCTCAGCATCATGAAAATCATTCCATACAGCATTTCACAGTTTACACAGTGATTTTCTCATTCCTCCCCTGGGGGTTGATAATCTCGGGCCTCTGTCACCATATCAATCTACAGGGCACCACCCACGGCAGCTTCCACCCAGGCAGCTCCATCCCTGGCCCAGCATAATGTTCCAAACAGGAGCGGGTCTCAGGGAAAAAATAATCCAAGCCTTTCAGAGCCAGAGGGGCTTCCCCCCATGTTGCTGCTTCAGTGTCTGGACAGGGAATATAGCAATCAGCTTGGGTCACCATAACAAATGCCCAGGGGCTGGGTGGCTTGAATGACAGAAACCGTTTCCTTCATTCTGGATGCTGCTCATCCAAAGACAAGGTATCCTCAGGGTTGGTCCATTCTGACCCCCCTCTGCTTGGCTCGTGGGTGGCTGCTGTGTTCTTAATTGATCTTTCCTCTCTGTGTGTGCCTGTGTCCAAATGTCCTCTTATTACAAGAACACCGGTCCTATTGTATTACGGTCCTGAGAGGGAACACAAAGAAAGGGGCTTCCAGGGGGATGGCAGGAAGCCTAGAGGGCCCATAGAGTCATTCATCACTCAACAGTTCTCTCCAAAAGAGGGAAAAGGATATGGGCATGAGGTAACCTAGGGAACTGATGACCAATAGAGGAGGACATCAATCAATGACCAATAGAAAAGGGCAATACTGCTTGGCGGCACAGGAAGGCCAATGAAAGACTTCCAACCAACTTCAAACTGAGAGGAAGAGGTATTTATACCTCCAGCTGCTCTTGTCTCCATCTCTCTCACCTCTTCTCCTTCATGAGAGGGACCCACTTTCGTCTGTCTTTGGAAGTGCTCTAAACTTTATCTTTGTTCTTAAATAAAATTTCTCTGTTACACTGAAACTTGCGCAGATCACTTTTACTTTCTGTTCATGCTGCTTGTGCTGTTCCCGTTTTATTTTCAGTTTCCACTCACTTTTGCTTTCAATTACCAATGTGCCTCGGTTAAACTTTCTAATTCAGCCAAGTAATCTAAACAGGTCAACAAGGGTCAGTCACTTGGTTGGGGTCATTCACTGGAATGGGCTGGCAGAACCGGGATGGCTTTACTCTCTGTCTGGTGCCTTGGTGTCCCTCCACTTACCCCCTATTCTCCCCATGGTTGCTTGGGTTTCCTTTCAGTATGGTATTTTAGGCTAGTAGGGCATCTTCTGGGACAACCTCCAAGCATGGGGAGCATTACAAGAGAGGTAAAAGTAGAAGCTACAAATCTCTTACAGCCTGTCCTCAAAAGTTACGTGAGTTTTCTACTGTGTTTTATATGTCAAAGCTAGTCGCAAGGCTGGCACAGACTCAAGGGCAGGAGAATAGACCCCCTCACTTCTCAAAGGAAGGAGTAGCAAAGAATTTGCTACCAGCCACATTTCATCTATCACAGAAACCTTTTGAGACAATGTTTCAGCCTATGCTTCACTCTTTCCTGTGATGGGAGCTCAACAAAACGGAAGAAAGATCTAACAAAAGATATCCCAGTTCATAAACCTGGACTGTTGAACTCCAGAGTATTTCATCTGATGTTGCTAACAGACACTGCCCAATGAGCCCATCTAGGGCCTCTGAGACATGACTTGCCTGTCTAAGGCTTTTAGAAATCAAAACATACCAAATCAGGATTACTATTTCTAATAGAGCTTAAACAATCACAGTTAGCAAATCAATGTTTGAACCTAAATAAATAAATAAATAATACCCAAAGTCCATGTTGGAGTCCATCAGTGAACCTAGAGCCTGCCCAGATGGCTGTACTGGCCCCTGTGAGCCCTGGCACAGAGCACTCCGCAATTTCTCATCCCCTCTGTCACAGAGGTTCTCAAGAAAACTATCAACCAGCAAATCTTTACTGATAACTTAATCCCTCCATGATCTTCTTGTAAACTGAGATGCAGGATCCCAACTCCACAGAGCCACCCTTCCAGTGTCTGGAGAAATGAGAGACCAAAAATGGGAACAAATGGCTCTCCTTGTTAGAGATATATAAAAAGAATTGCTTTTCTCCCCAGCAGACTTAAATAATCATATGCAAAATCCAGGAATGCAAACTAAATATCTCTCCACCATGGGTTGGATTTGAAATATTATTATGAAATTATTGTACAAGAGATGTGGCAGTGGTTATTGTGCTATGTATGTGCTATGTATGGGAAACATTCTTCTTCATAGGAGAGGCATGCTGAACTACTAGGGTTTGATCAAGAGTTCACAAGCCAAGGCTCCCAGGCCACGTCTGGCCTACATCCATAGTCCTCCAAGAACACGGCCACATCCTTTCCCTTCTCTACTGTCTATGGCTGATACTGTGCTACAGTGAGAAGCTGAGTAGTCATGACAGAAACAGTATGGCTCTCCAAAGCCTAAAATACTTACTTTACAGAAAAGAATTTGCTAACCCTTGAGTTAGGATGCCATGATGTCCACAACTTCCTTTCATATTGTTCAGTAAAACCAGAGCGACATGGAAGGATATGTGTATGGACATATAAATATAAAATGCAAATGTGGCAAAGCATTAATATTGGTGAATTTAAGTGGAGAATATATGAATGTTCCCTTTATTTTTATTTCACTTTTTCTGCATGTTTGAAATTTTTCTGAATAAATAAAATGTTTGAGGAACAAATATTGCTTCACTTCAAAACACAAGACTCTTCCTAAGAAAATTATAGCTCATGGGAAAGTTAAATAAGGAGATAAGTGACAATGCAAATATATAACTAGAATTGGAATAGGTTTAAAAATAATGGGGATAATCTCATTCACAATAGCAACAATAAATATTAAACATAAAATTTAACTAAAGGCCCGGTGTGGTGGCTTATGCCTGTAATCTCAGCACTCTAGGAGGCCAAGGTGGGAAGACTGCCTGAGCTCACAAGTTCGAGACAAGCCTGAGCTACCACAAAATATCCAGGTGTTGTGGTGGACACCTGTAGTCCCAGCTACTTGGGAGACTGAGGCAAGAGGATCTCTTGAGCCCAAGAGTTTGAGGTTGCTGTGAGCTATGATGCCATGGCACTGTGCTCAGGGCAAGAAAGTGAGATTGTGTCTCCAAAAAAAAAAAATAAATAAATAACTAAAGAAGAAATGTGGAGCATTTAAGGAAAATAAATTTTACCATAGTCCAAAATAATATTACATAGTACATAGGAGCATACAAGTTATTGAATATGTTTGGGGTTATGTCTGGCCAGTGCATTTACAATGTTAAAAAAATTAACAATAACAGAAAAAAAGCTACCACATTCCTGAACAAAAAGATGCAATGATTCAATGTTGTAAAAATCCCCAATTCAATGAAAATTACTGTGATCTTTGTTGTTGGGGGTAGGGAGGACAGTGACAAAATAATTTGAAAATTTCCCTGGTAGGAAAAAATGGCTGAGTTTAGAGAAGGACATTCTGAAAAGGAAGAGTAATGATAGGGTTCTTACCCTAACAGATGTTAAAATTTATTTTAAAGCTACAATAATTAAACAATTAAGTCTGGCTCAGGAATAATAAATCAGAGAAAAAAGAAACCACAAAGAGAGACCCAGAAGGAAGCAAAAAGTAAGAATCCAATCAAGGCAGCAAGTCCAATGATAAGAGAGAGACTAGATTACACAATAAATAATATTGGGACAACTGACTAGCCATTCGAAAGAAAATGGAGTTAAAGCCTTATATCACAGCAACCCCAAAAGGAAGGAAAATTAGGTGCACAGAAATAAAGGCATGAATGATATACAAAACAATGTTGATTTTTTTATAAGCTTGTGGTGGCACAGATCTTTCTAAGCATGAAACAAATAATAAAGAGAAAAGAAAGATTGATATGTAAGGCTAATAAAAATGTCAATCTTCTTACATCTGAGAATACTAAAACCAAAATTAAGAAAAAACAACACTGAGAAAAATATTTGCAACATAAATGAGTTTAAAAGGTCAACATCCTCACTTTGTCATTATGTAAAGAAAAAAGGGTTTTTTAATTTTTTAAATTGTCAAAAGCCATCAATAAACAGACAGCTAAAGAACTCTCTGAACATACGTAATAAACCTCTGCACTGAGAAGCTTGGCCAAAATCTAGCATGACTTGGAGTAGCATAAGGCCATGTTCCTAGGATGGCTGTAGGCCCCTGTTAAAATGCCTGCCTGAAAAAGCTTAGATTTGCCAGAAAAACTTGCTATTTGTTTTAGCCAGGACCTGATGATAGACCAATAACTCCCTATTGTAGGCCAAAAATTGTGTACATATCATTCCATTAATCCTCACAAACTGCTCAAGCAGAGTGTTATTATTACCCTAACATGACAACTGAGAAAGTGAAGGCTCAGAGAAGTTCAGCAAGCTTCCTGAGGTCACACAGCAGTACACATGCAGTCGAGTTGGAACTGGATACAGGCTGGTCTGACCAGAAACTCAGTTCTTTCTGTGCTTCATTTCAGGACCCATAGTTTAGGATGCAGAAGGTCTGAGTTCCTATGCTGACTCCATCTCCAACCCCATACGTAACCTTGGCAAGCCTCTTCCCCTGTCTGACCCTCAGTTTCCTCATACGCACAGGAAGTGGACTGGCCCAGGTGGTGTGTCAAGTGCCTTACTGCTCAGACATGCCAGATTACTGTTCTCGTAAAGTGCCCAATACCAACCGATGGCCAAGGACAGGTCCAAACCGGAGGCCAGCCTCAGGTGGCCGCCCATGGGGCCCCAGCCACTGACCAACCTTGAATTCTTCGTGGATACGTTCCTCTAAAACTTTGGCAGCCTTGCGGTCTTCCATCTCCACCTTCCACTTCTCCGCCAGGATCCGGGCTTTCTCATTGGCCAGAGCGTCCCGGAACTTCTTGGTGATCTCTGCCTCCTTCTGTCTCCTTCCAAGAGAGCAGCAGCAGGTATAAGCGCGTATGAAAAACTAAAGAACCACAAAGTAACACTGAGGTAAAACAATGATCAGTCTCTTTCCTCTGTTGAGCAAAATGGCAAATATTGAAGCAACCAATAATGGCAACAAAACTCAACATGAGCAAAGGTGGAGAGAAATAGGCATTCTCAGTATGGAAGCATAAACCAGCCGATTCGTTTTGGAAAATAAGACCAGGAAATTCCATTTCTTACTCTAGTAAACAAAGATGGATATAAAAATTGCTTTTAACTCCATACTGAACCTCAGAGTCAAAGCATTCTGTAATAGACATAATCTGATTTGACAATGTGAATGTTACTTTTTTTTGCATCATTATTATTATTGCTCAATATTTCATTGTAGCAATCGTCTGATTTCTTTTCTGAATGTATTTATCTTCATCCATTCTTTATGAGGTTTTTGTTTCTAGCCCTTATCTTAAACATTGTTATTGTTATTAAATTTTAAGCCTTTTTAATTTTGTAAAGGCAAAAAGTGGAAACCAAAGAAACACATGTATATGTAAAAAAAAAGAGAAAAGGTGGGTGGTGCCTGTGGCTCAGAGGAGTAAGGCGCTGGCCCCATGTGCTGGAGGTGGGGGGGTTCAAACCCAGCCCCGGCCAAAAAAAAAAAAAAAACTGCAAAAAAAAAAGAAAAAAATACTTGTAAGAGAATTTTTTTAAACATACAAAATGTTAAACTACATAAATGTCCATCAATAAGGTCAAAAAATTGGGTTTCTCACGTAAAACAATGCCTGTACTACACAGTAATCTTAAGTAGCATTGTGGATCTATAGTAATCAATTTGTCAATGTGTGAATAAAACAGTTCACAAAGCATATATTTCCTAAATGTTCACTGTGGTTATCTTAGTGGTGGATGTGGGTTGTTCTTTATTTTTTATAGTTTTCAGTGTTGTTTACATGTTTTCACAACTGAAACTCTGTCATTAAAAATTAGGGCTGTTGAGCTTCAAGTCAAGGGTGAGTGCACAAAAAAACTAGGGGGAAGATGGTGTCAATGTCACATGGATTTCCAAGTTTGGCCAAAAAATGTTAAAAGAGACTCCTTGCTCATGAAAGGAGTCTGACTCCAAATCTCATCAGAGCTCAACTGTCATCTTGTGTGAGAACAATGGGTAACTTGACAAGGAGCAAGCTGATAACAAACGTGAATCCAAACTGTTGGACTGTTCCCATGCTAACACAGTGAGAGCAAAAACAAAAGCCTGTCGTATATGTTGTTTCAGTGGATCCAAACTGCATCTGTAGGGCAAGGGTGCTATCATGCCCACACTACAGATGTGAAAACTGAGGCCCCAGATCAGCTAACTATAAATTGGCAGAGCCAAGATTTGAGCCCAATGCAAGATTCTGATGCTTTGGTCACCTCATTTAGCAAAGCTCAAAATAGCCAGCCACTGAACCCTCTTCCCTCCCTCCCACAATTTTCCTTAGCTTGGCCCCACCCACCCCCCACCCCTGGGACCCCTCACCAAAGCTCTTCAGCCTCCCTCTGTGCCTGCAGCCGCGCCCTCTCTGCAATCAGCTCTTCAGAGATCTCTTCATAGGGCTTGTCTCCAGGGCCTTCTCCCATGACCCAGACCCAGACCTCACCGTCTGCCCCCAGGAGCCACTGGATGTGCTTATCACTCGCTGTGTGTGTCACAATAAAAGGAGGAACAAAGAAGAAACGGGTTTGATTTCCAATTAGTAAGGAATGACTTAAACTGCTCAATGGTGTGCAACCATCATATCACTCTACAGTGTTGTCGTCTACAAAAAGGATTCCAGAGAGATGCTGGCTGGAGCACCAATCCACAGGCATCTTTTCTCCCTTTCCCTCCAGGGAGCATCACAGCCAAACCAGGCTGCAGGAGCTGGAACTGGTGTCCAAGCCAAGCTCACCTGAGCTCTTCAGCAGAGCACAATGAGTGGCACTGTAGTACTCTCGGAAGGAAGAGACTTGTGTCACTCTCGGGCTGAGGCAGTCAGGAGCAAGTGAGCCCTGTCTGCACTCTCTCCCTCCTGTCCACCTGCTGGAAATAAGGAACTGGAGTGATGGAGTTGCAAAATGAAGCAACCCAGGACCCCGAGTCCCTCCTGCCCCGCAGCAGACTATAACACGAGCAAGAAGTAAACCCACATTTTATTTAACCACTGAGATTCTCGGTTTGCCTATTACAAAAAATTCCATTGATTACCACAACTAAAATGGAAATGTATCCCAAAAGCAGGATGCTGCTGAAACAAAAATATTAATATAAACTCTGTGTCATTGCCTTAGCACTGGGGTGGTGAGTGATGTTTAGCAGCTGGACATCCATGTTATAGAGCAGCAAGCAGCAAAACATTTGAAATGTCATGGCTTGGCGCCTGTGGCTCAAGTGGCTAAGGCGCCAGCCAAATACACCTAACGTGGCAGGTTTGAATCCAGCCCTGGCCTGCCAAATAACAATGACGGCTGCAACCAAAAAATAGCCAGGCGTTGTGGCGGGCGCCTGTGGTCCCAGCTACTTGGGAGGCGGAGGCAGGAGACTCCCCTTAAGCCAGGAGTTGGAGGTTGCTGTGAGCTGTGATGCCACAGTACTCTACCCAGGGGGACAGCTTGAGGCTCTGTCTCAAAAAAAAAAAAAAAGAAATGTCAGACTCTCTAATTTAAAAGGAAGACCCCCATGCTTTCAGAACATGTCATTCTAAGGGAAGAGGCTGAAAAATACAGCGTAGTGCACATTGGGTGCTAGTGGCTGTGTTTGGCAAAGTTTTAGGAGAAAGAAATGAGATCAAGAAAGATTGAGCACTTTTCCAGCGAAATGAAAGGAATGGAGAGAAGACAAACGCTTAAGAGTTTGTAGGATTGCAAAAACCATCTCATCTTCTTCTAGGGCTCCAACTACAGGAGATGGGATTTTTAAAGGTTTTGATGACTAGACCCAGAGCCCATATTCACTCCTTAGGTGACTGCCGTGACTCAGGGCACAGAGCCATGAGAATGTGCTCCATTTACCTCCAGCTAAAGGGAGCAACATTGACAAAGAACTGTAGCTCCTGTGCCCAAAGCCATGTTTCCCAGGGGCCACTCCCAGCCTTTAACCAGGCACAGCGCGTTCTCTCTCAGGAGACATCGGCCCCTTTGAGGAAGGACCACACAGCTGCCTGGAACACTTCTGCCCAACCCCCACGCCTCTCCCTCCCTCAAGGTCAGCTCACAGCTCTCCCAGCCTCCTCCAGCTCTTTGACCTTTATCTCTCACAGATATTCCCTTGATAAAACCCTTGTGGGTTCATCCCACCCTGGTCCCTGTGCCTCAGAGGAACCAGACTCACACAGGCACGTTAAGAGTTCCATCTCTTGCCCTGCTTAGTTTTCCTTTTAGGTGAAAGGGAGAGAGAGGAGTAAAGAGGCAGAAAGTCAAGTCACTGTGAGAAATTTGTCTAGAAAGAATCTATATCTTGTCACTGGGACATGGAAGCAGACAGATCAGAACACTCCTACATTTTTGAGTCTGGACCAAAAAAATCTTTGACTGTTTAAGACTTAAACAGCCCTTGGGCATCCAACTTTGGTGACTAGGAGGCAGGTTTCAAAGGTTAGACTGGTCTGAGGAGGATGTGGCCCTCAACACTACTGCAGATGAGGCCAAGGGGAATAATAAGAAGAAAGAGATTCCTGGGGGGTGGAGCCAGTGTCTACTCAAGGAATTCCCTTACTGAGTGCCCACTCAAGGAATTCCCTTCCATGGGTAGGGCAGCAGACTTCACAGAGCCTGACCCGTAGTACTTCACAGGTATAGTAGGCTAAAGATTGGCACTCACATTCCCCCTTTTTCAAATGACAGTTTCCTCAGTGGATATTCTGACCCTGCTCCAGCACTGTGTATTGTGTTTTAAGGGGCAGGTGTTTAGATGGTAAGTCAGCACATTCCGAACCCCAGAGATTGGACTTCAAGCTGGAGACACAGACTGGCTGGGACCAACAGTGTCCCCTTTAAGGAGGTGGGGAGTGTATTCTACATGGAGGAGAAGAGCGAAATGTGTGGATGTCCAGAATGACAATTTATGACAGTGGCAATGCTATATCCACACACCATTTCTCTTTCTGAGCCCACAGATGGGCACATCCCTCAGCTTCCCTTCACTTCCAGGCCTGAGTTCTACTCTACAGAATGTCAGGGGAAGTGATTTGTGTTACTCAGGCTAAGCCTGTTAACACTTCTTGTGCCTTTTCCATATTTTCTCTCTTGTCTACACTGTTGGAAATAAATGACTCCAAGATGATGGAATCCCATGAAGAAAGCAGCTTGACCCGTGAGTCAATGTTTGAAAACACAACACACAGAAGAGCTACTCAACCCACACCAAACTGATGAAATCAAGCAATAAACCTTCATCGTATTAATCTACTGATATTTCAGGGTTATCTATTGCACAAAGCAGCCTTAATTCCTCAGATATATATGAAGGCATTGCTATTTTTTTAGTATAGGCAGTCACCAAGTTACAAACATCCAAGGTATGTGCAATTCATACCTACCGATAGAGGCTTTTACAGTAAGTCTCCAAGTTACACACATCCAACCAACATACAACTCGCACTTACCAATAGAAACCATTACAGGTAATTGGTAAATGTACCTGTTCCAATTTACATGCAAATTCAACTTAAGAATGAAACTACAGAACCTATTATGTCATTTATAACCCAGGACTGCTTATATGTTAAAAGCAATATAGTAATAGAGAAACACAGGTTTAATTATGACTGGTAGAAACAGGGACATGACCAAATAGAAACCTCCAGCCAGCATCCCTGGGCCTGCACACCAAATTTACCAACTCTTCACACAAGAAAACACCTTCAGAAGAACCAACAATCAGGGGATCAATCACAGAACCTGGTTTTAATATTATACCAAGGAAAAGGACCCTGAAGGGGCCAGAAAAGCATTTTGCATTGCCTACCGCTCCTCCCTTATACCCCTGCAGTGTTGCCTCAGGGCACCTGTGTGCCCAGGAGAGGGAGAATGAAGCAATTGTGGGACTTTGCATTGAAACTCAGGGCTGCCCTGTCATAAGGAAACAGTACGAGGCAGACTTCTGTCAGAACCCATGGAGGGAGCATGTAGACCAGCCTGGCCAGAGGGGAATCCTCCACCCTGAAACCTGAGGTCTGGGTAACACCACCATCAGTTAACAAAAATCAGCCTGGGTCCTGGAATAAATCTGTAAGGCAGTCAAGGTATGAAGGCTACAGGACTTGGGCAATTCCTATGGCTGTGCTGACTCAGAGTCAGTAGAATTGGGGTGCATGTGACCCAGTGACAAACCAGCAGTGTTAGCCAAGCCAGTGCCTATGTTACCCCTTTCCCAACTCCAGGCAACACAGCTCAGAAAGAGTCTTCTGGCTCGGCGCCTATAGCTCAACC